TAACAGGGCAACATAAATTTTTTTTTTAAGCCAGCCAAATTTAGCAGTGGGGGGTTGTATACCAACTTTAGTGACACTAATGTTAGTAAGTTCTGATAACCCACTACCTTCACACCAACCAAGACATAAATTTTTTAATGGGAAAAAAATAGCAATTGCCAGCAAGAGAGGGGTTTGGGGCTTTTTAATTTTTTTGCTATTTCACTTTAAAAACAATGATGCAACATATTTCTCTTGCAATAGTGTATTTACAAGATGTGTTATTTGTGAGTAAAAAAAGATAGTATATCATGCTATCTAAAAACCTATTCTGTTTTGAAAAAGGAATGAACAAATGAAAACGTTTTATATTTTCCTATTACACACCATCTCTCCACACCTCTTTGCAAAGCATCATTGTATTTCCTAAATAGCCATAAGTTACAGAAACCAATTTTTCATTTATATGTAAGCATAGTGTATTATTTATAACAGAGGGATTAACTCTGTATTAATTGTTCAAATCAACAAAATAGATATTAAAACCCCATTACTTGGAGCCTTTCCCTATGGCTTTAGTTCCTAGAAATGAGATTTTAATGTTTCTGTATTTCTCAATTACCTCCCTTGATTTTTATCAAATTTAAAAACTGGAAGTCGGTAAACAGACTCAAGTAATCATGAGATACCGATAAGACAAACAAAAGTTTCCAATAATACTAACAGATCAGGTTAACAATGACAAGACAAAAAGTTTCATAATGCTAGCCAATTTATAGGGCATAGCATTTCTGGGATGGACACCCAAAAAACATGAAAATAATATAGCTGATATGAGGCATTGCTTTAGGTACTGGGGATATAGCAGTGAACAAAAGTACCTGTCCTAATGGAACTTATATCCTAGTGGGGCGGCAGTCAATGGAAAATGAACAAAATATGAAAGATCGAGTAGGGGTAATTGACAGAAGAAAAAGCAAGATAAGGGATTTAAAAATGATGGGGGCAGGGTACTAATTTGGAGACTTAAGATGACATTTGAGCTGAGACTTGAATTAAATGAGGAAATGAGCTTTGTGCAAATCGGAAATAAACATTCTTAAGAGAGGAAACAACGCAAAATCAAGAAGTATTCTTTCTCATTTTTTTCTCTTACCAAGTTGTGACTTGAAAACAAGTATATTCTTTTGTGTATTTTAAGATCAGTGGAAGGATTAATAGCATGAATGAAACAAAACAAACAAAAAAACCCCAGAAATAGCTAAGAGGAAAGTGCCTTAGGCAGAAAGCTGTAAATTTATCAAAGATAAATGGTTTTTAAAATTTTTAATGTTATTGGTATAGAAGGGATGAGTTTGGTTTTACATATATTAAGATTAGATATCTACTAGCTATCTAAGTATAGATGAGTTCAGGGGAATGGTTGAAGCTGGAGATATTCTGCACCGAAAGAGGAAATAGTAAAGGTGTTGAGAGGAGAGAAATCAAGTCATATCAATAGCAATACCACAGAAATTCCAGAAACAATTGAGCAAGAGGCAACACCCGAGCAAAGAAAATAAAGCAAAGATTTGAAAAGTAAACAGAGGAAAAAAAAACTCATGGCAGTTCAGTTCCACAGCTCATTCTACAGATTGGAAACCTAATTAATAGTAGTCTATAATAATGAAATTACAATATAACCCACATTTTCAAACTATGTATGTCATCAACATCCTTACCTCATAGAATCATTAAGTTTGAGACTGTTCATACCTCTTTAATGTTTAGATCAAGACTCAATTGTAGAGTGGAATATAGAATTAAAAGTATCTCATTCATTTGGGAGTTTGAGCTAC